TTTCTGAGACTTAAATCCTTGTCTCTGGGCAAAATACCAACCTACAGCAAAGAACAGCTGAAAACTAACATGAGTCACAGTTAGCTGGATTATAAATTCTGTTCACATAACAGCTGAAGTCCTTCCAGAACAATATTCAGAGGATAACACTGTTGTTAAACTCCTATCTTACCTTGTCTCATCAATTACCTGACAGGGAGAGTCATCAAAAAATTAGACAAAGAAATGACCAACATTTTAAAACATTAAGCCAGATGGTCCTGTTTGATTTTAAAACTCATACTGAAGCAGTTCTTACTTTAGGCAAGTAATGTTTAAAACTGGTTAGCAATTTCTTTCCTCATTCTGAAGTTGCTTGGGGGACGGGGGGGTTGGGCAGAGGGAGATGGGGGAAGTAGCCGGTTTCATGGCAAGCAAGACAAACATTAGGATACTTACTTTGGCACATAATAGCTGAGTTCTCCTCTAACAATGTACCTGACATTATGGAATGGTGACTTCCAAATTGTAACATCCTATTGCTGATCATGGTTCCATACATAAAAACAGACAGCGCACTAACCATTTCACAAAACACTAAAATAAGGTAATAATTGTTATGCTTTACATGTATTCCATCACAACGCAAAATAAAAACTCGCAAATTCCTCTAGACAATCTCGAGGACTGAAATAAATTCCCTGGGAGAAGAAATGAAGACACTTGAAAATTATTCAAGGAAGACCTCTAACATGGTAACAGTGCCTTCTCAAACTGCCACCACATCAGTAAGAAAAGAACTAAAATATAACTCTTTCAATTTTCACACTGCCTTCAACATTCAATAGCATCCAGATGCCCCACAGAGCAAAAACATCTCAGTCACACGAGAGTGGCAAACAGACTGCTACCTTGTTCTTGCTGTTCTATGTTACTTATTTCTCTTAAAGCCTTCTTCAGGCAAGGAATATAAAGTAGAAATTTTATTTCACATCAAGATTTCAGTAAACACGATAATGCACTCCAATTAGAAGGCTAATTATTAACCAAGAATTATAGATTTTAAGACTGTTGTATAATGTGATGATCTGGTAAGCGGTTGTAGACAAATATTAAACCTGGCGCTTATAAAAAAATATCGCCACCTGATGTAGTTCAATATTTTGTACTATTCACAACAGTTAACAAAGGCCTGACAGACTGTAGTCTTAGTTAGCAACACAAAGCCAATAAAATCATCTTCTTATTTTGGGTGGAAAAAGCAAGGGTAGAATTTGAAAGCTATAAACAAAGGAACCAAATGCAATTATCAGTTGAAAATAATCAATGCATAAACCCCCTAATATATATTTGGATTCTTAACAGTAATTAAAAAAAACCAAACCAAAACATTGTGAATACTGCGTAAGCACCTCTTAATTATAAAATTAAACATTAATTGAGTTGAAGGCTACTTCTCTATATATGATATAAAAGCGTAAGTACAGGTGCAAAGCCACTTAATTAAAAATAACCCTTGCAAAAGCACATTATTATACTACTCAAATTCAAAGTTAACTGGTAGAATATGTAAAGCAATGAAAATAAGAGCTGCAAATACCAAAAATATCTTTTAACTTGCCTAATAAACAATAAACTGGAATTAAAGACAATGCACATGTCACATTGTCTGAGAAACTTATCTGCATTTCCATTCAGTTAAGTGACTTGGTCTGAGTTTGGAACTTATGAGTGTTAATTCACAAGGTCTAATCAATATCAATTTATGTCTAGATTTTGCTAAGATCTTCTTTTTTGCTTCATCACTGTCTTTGCGATTATTTTATTTTTAGATATCACTTTATAGCAAAGCATACCTAGTACCTAAATGCAGCAGTGTAGTCAACACAGTCAACATTTTATTACAGAGAATGTTTAAGTATTTTCTTTAAATCTCATAGAAAGGAAAAAAAAAACACAAAACTTCTCCCAGAAATATCTATCTTGAAAACAAATAAAAAAGTTAACAAATACATTTTGTATTTGAAGGCAAGGCGGAATTAAATAGTCATAGATTTTTGTCTCAGTTATTTTAAATGGAGTTTAGCTGTAAGCACAGATAGTTACAGTTCAGCAATTATTCAGTTCAGTAGAGAACAATTTGCAGGATTAGTCAATCTACATTAGCTGTGTCAACATCTGTGGGATTTGCATTGACAGCAATTCATAAATCTATCACCTGGAGTGCAATAATACATTCTCAAATCTATGCAATGCTAGAGTACCATTCATGCACAGTCATCATTTCCCCTCCCCCTCATTAACAAGTAGTTTTCTACTTAAAACATTAATTTCCCTTTAGATTTCAGCACTACCAAAAAGAAAATGCAGCACTAGATCTATGAAAAAAATCCTTCAACTTGGCCTCTCTTGAAAAAAAGTGCTATTAAAGACTGAAAGTTTTTCTCAGATGATGTTTTTTATTTTATCAGAAATTAGCAACATCTTTGTGTTACAGTACAGCAAGTAGAACCTTTCTCTATTGAAATATGTCAGATCACACTTGCTATGTATTTGAAATGTTTTTTTCTCCAAGGTTAAATCTCCTTGAAGTACACATCAGGTTTCCTCATGGTGCCCATAAAAGTGACTTGAAACCTGGATCCTCTTACTAGACCAAACAAAAAATAACTGAAAATTTCCTCTGCAAGATTTATGTTATCTTTTTTTTTTTTTGCCTGTTTACAAATATTGCATACCTTTCTTTTAAAGATACTTTCAAAAGTATTTTACAAACTCTGTCACGTTCAAACCAATGCCTTACACACAATTCACCATATAAACTAACAAGCACTGCACATCACATTCTGACTGCTATAGATTCTGAAGTTGTCATTGCATTCTGTATTTTGCCACCACAATTGCAGTTAAACTTAGGTTAACAATGTTCATCTTTAAACCCAAATACTTATTTCTGCGACAGTGCTTGAATGGTAGCTGGGGAGAAGATGGGAAGAAAGACGAGTTGCTAGAACTGTTTAACATATCCAGAGCTCTATGTATATCCTATTGACAAGATGATACTTGAACAAGTTCAGACCAATAAAGCTGTTCAACTTGTGTAGTCCAGACAGATTCAGAACAAACCTAAAATTAAACTGCCTTAAACTGCCACTGCACTGAGAAAGACATCTATAGCAGGGGACCATCCGAGAAATGCTTACTCTGCTTATTCGTTATTAATAATGGAGGTGCAGTCAGTAAATTACATCGATTGAATGTTTTCCCTGTTTAGGCTACTTCCTCATTTGTCATGAGTTTCATGAATCTGCACTTAAAAGTTTTATAGCTTCAACTTACCTTGCAAAGAAAACTGATGTTAAAACCAAGAGACTGTGCGTTTCTGGAGCCAGAGTTCATGTAGTTTCCAAGGAACAGCACTAACTCTAAAAGCTTACTAAAGCTTTCACTCTTCTTTAGCTCTTCACAAGCCATTGTAACTGCCATAATGTCAGGTTTGATATTGTTTACGTGCTCTTCAAACATAAGCCTGAAAAGGATCCCATTGAGACGTGACCGCAACATTTTCACTGAACTCATCTACAAAGTAAGAAACATTAAGTCAGAACACAAAAAACCAAAAGCTTATTTATGCAAAATAGCCTGTATTAAGAAACAGTATTGTGCAGCCAGCAACACAACAGTTTCTCTATGTTTTCATTGCCTATCTTGTAATTCCCAGAATCCACAGCTTCCCACAGTTAGTTTTCCACAAACTATACACTTTGCCCGAAAAAATTCAGTGAAGTAACATACTGTGAATGTAAGAGTGTGCTTTGTGCTACCAAACCATTTAGCTTGTCAATTCCAAAATCACTGGCAATAAACACACACTGGCAAAACCCTTCCTCCCAGCAAAGGAAATGTAGGCATGTTCTACCAGTTAACAAGAACAGATCAGCCTGAAGGTACACGTGGCAAACATTTCATCACATCTCAAGTGAAGGTACCCTTGAACTCTGATCTACCAATTTCCTAAAACTAAGCTTTTCAGTTTTTTCTTACTTCAGAAATGGTACAATAACCTCTCAAGTGGGTGTGCTGATACCAGCACAAACGCAAACAGCTATTCTTCAGTCTGATTAAGCTAAAGAATTATGTTTCCCATTTTTAGACTCTATACTGAGCTGATGCACAGCTCTCAACTTGCTCTTGGTCACTAGAACAATACAGGAGAGATAAAATGAGTTCTCAGGGACCCTTGTGGAAGGACATGAGAATATCTAAGTGAGTTTGACACACAGTCAGGTATTGGTATAAAGCTAGATCAAATTAGCTCTAACATTCATGAAACATTTTCTGCCATTGTACTGATGTGAGCTGTTAATTGTTATATTTACAGATTACATCCGGTGCTACATCTAACAAGGTTAATTATAGCAGTTTTTAATTAAAGTGAAACCCAAACTGGTTTTTGTTAAGTTATTTTCTACACTTATGGCAAGTTATAAAATAAATAATATGAATCCTACCAGTATTGATAGTTAACAAATAAACTCAAAGGTATTTTAAAATACAGCATGGAATGCATTTGATCCTAAGACTTCTCAAGTTCACACTATCATAAAGCCCCAATCTGTGTATTCCAAAGAATAATCAGATTCAGGAAGTGAATAAAGACATTTTAGCTGAAAATCAAAACATTAAGTTTCATATAAAAAGCAATAAACCTAGAGATAAGGACATACTTCCAGTATACTTTTTCACTTTTGATTCCACAACATCATACTTAGTAGACAACACACTGCTTGCTTTTCCACGTCTTGTCTTTTGGTCCTTTTAAACAAATTTCATAAAACTACTGCCCAAGATGGCATCACCTTTATGTTTCAGACACTTGGCAAAAAATAGTATAGGACTACTCCCTTCTTCATCTGATAAACATATGATGTTATAGATCATAGCACTGTAACATCATAAATGACAGATACTGAAAAGTATCTAACAGTGATTCATTAGTTTAAATCCCCACGACCAATTTCATTAGCCTAGCTACCAAAATAAGTCCATGTCTTTCATACTTTGCACAAGTGATCAGTACTATTTCCTCCTACTCAGCAGACTATAATTTGCAGAGGTATTTAACTTTAAGAGAAAAATAGGTACTAAGAATTGTTAATCTACTTATTTTTATTATATTTTTAAATTGTTTTATTTACATTAATTATTTTTATTTAAATGCAAGAATGATTACTTTCCAAATCTAACTCCTTATCTTTATTATCAGAATACAGAAAGATTTTTTTCTCAGACTATTAATTATCAGTGGTGTTCCCGAAGCATTTTATCCCCCTGAAAGCCAAGTTTTCTTATATAATAAGTCACAGATGTTGACCATCAGAATAGAAAGATTTTTATGTACTTATGTCTGTTGCCCAAAGCTTTAGCATGGCTCTTTGAGGAACCATGATTTTTCTGCTGGTGTTATCTACCACGCAGCTACCAGAAGCAACAGCCGTAACTTTCAAAGCAAAGACTGGGGTTGCCTGAATAATGATGAATTCATACTAAATGAAGGCATTCCAGATGGTCTCAAACAATTAATATGATCAGACTGGAACGAGGAAAAGGAAAGGATCAGAAAATAAGCAGCCCAGCATAACTTGCAATCATTTTTATACATCTCCACTGTCATAAATTTGTGAGCTTCTATAAGCCAACATCATGCAAAGTCTTGAAATGTTATTCTTCTAATCATTCTATGTTTCATAAATATCATACTGAAAACATCTGCCTTGAAAGGATATACCTTCACTGAGCTGCAGTAGATAGAAATTAAAATTAATCACATAATTTGCTTTAACTTCTGCAGAACAATCTCCAATTACTGTTTTTACTCAAAAAGGCACAGAAAAAAAATTGTCAAAAGCTTTAGATCCTACAAAATGAGCACAACAAAACACGTAAGACAACAGAACAGCGTGACTTAAACATTTGTGAAGAATAATCCTTTACAACACTTCAGCCAATTTGTAGGTACTTTCTTTTTTTAATGCTGTGAAGTGTCATGGAACACTGATCATTTATTTGCCTTGCAAGGTAGTTTGACTACTAAACCAGCAGTGAGTTTTAATTTCATCTGTTGATGTGCACAATATTTTTAAAGTATCTAGACTGTTTCCTAATATTCAAAACATTCTTATATACATTATATTGTTTATATATCGATAGAAGATGACTACAAATGCTATTTTATTTCCTCCTTCCCCATCCTACCCTGTTTATTCTTTCACATGCATGTTAATAACTGGACATATTCAATGGCTGATAAACATACTGAACTTAGAAGAATCTTCTGAAAACAGGTAAGGTGCAAAGATTATATTCACTTAGAAAAAGTTCAAATGGGTTTTAGTTCAAAAAAATTAGTCAAAGGATTATACATATATCACATTGAAATAGGTGCATATAACACCAAGCATTAACTTCTACTGTGAACAGTTCCAGCAGCAAGAAAATGGGTGGTACTTTTCCAGCTGACTGTAAGCACGGGACTGCACATCATTACTTCCCCTTCTGAGCTTTCAAAAAGGTCCTTGTCTGAATTCTCTACCTAATCAAGTTATTTATTCTTTATCATCATCATTCAATTCTCAAGCACTATATTAAAACTAGGATCAAAGGTTATTGGAGAAAGGCAAAAAGCACAATTAAATTTGCCTCACTTTCTAAGGTAAAAAGCTGACATTCCTAAAATACAAATTTGTCAAATTACTAAAACAATTACTCAGCCTCTCACCTGTAAGTTGCTATTTTTTTCCTAACAATTCCTAGAAACATTAATTCTTCAGCAGCTCTAAGAATTACAATGCGGCAAAATAAGTGACAAATAAATACAATTAAAATGACTGAATGACTCTAAACCAATGCAGTTGCAATAAACTTGTACAATTCTTCCCACTCTACCTCCCAGCACGGACTGCTCACAATAGCTAATCCTGGTTACACAGCAAAAAAAGGGTCATAGAATCTGCAGTTTTCTACAACTGCTCAGTCAAACTTACTCTCTTGCCTTAATAATGAAATTACTGATAACCCAGCTCTTAAGGACTGAAGGAAAGTTTTTCATTCACTACAAACCAGCCCAAAATCCCTCCCACTTTTCCAGAACACACACCAAACCAGAATTCTTTGGTCAGTTCCAGTCACCTGTTTTCTAAGAGTTACTAACTAAAACTTGCACCACATAATTGTGGGGTGATTTTTTACGTGGCAATATTCTTCTTAACCTGACTTCAAAACTCACAGTAGGTGGTAAAGTGGATAAACTTTACTGAGTTTAAATATCAGTAACACTGCAACAGATTTTTTCTTTTTTTCAGCGTGTCCTCTGAGTTGACAGGAAATGGTTGGTACTCAGGCTTTACAGCACAGTGAGACTTAAGCTTTTATAATACTTAAAATGTTCCACTGTACTAAAATTGAAAGCCCCTATCATTAGTGAAGTTGCAGCTGTTCCTATGTCATAAAAAAATTAACTCTTAAATACAAATTTTAGATTTTAAATTCTGAGAACATCCTGCCTAGCTTATTTAAAGCTATATCACTGATTCAGTCAATGTATTTTTCTTGCTCTACTTCATCATCAACATGAACTTTTCTTTATATGAATTTGTGTTGTCTTTTTTGATCCCAGGATATAACATCAAAAATAGTTCCAGTGGCTAATTTGCATATATAATTGATTTTAATATTTCATCTAAATGAAAATGCAATTCTAATTTTCATTACATATCAGCTGAATATTAAGATAATCGGTCTCTTATAATAAGTTAATCACATACTAAGTATGGTTTTTCTACACAAATTTTAAACAACTTATTCCAACCTTTATTGAATTTGATGGGCACAGTGATTACCCAATTAATATCTCTTAATTATTAAGATACAGAATTTTACATACAAATAAGGGTACACATTTTAAATTTTATTTCTAATAGTCTGTTTGTCGTCTTCTATTTCTAAACATATCAAGATTAAGACTATTATTAATGCAAAACTCTGAAATTAATTCAACATGTAGTGAAAAAGGACTCCGGTCAAGTAAAGACCTTAAGTTCAGCCGCATTTCTTCCACTTTACTGGATTGTACTATTAGATCAAAATCAGAAACAAACCCAGCATTTTAAATAGTATTAATGCAGTTAAAGGCATCTAAAAATAAAGACAGAATCACTACCCATAAGGAAACATAATATATTTTTATTAAACCAGATGGTAAAGTTAAATAAGCAAACAAGCTTCAGGAAACTTAGTCCCTTCATAAAGCAAACATCACCATTCAGAGATGTTTGATTAAGCAGGTTTTTTTAGTTAATGTTCCATTAAATTCTCTCAACTTTTTATATACAATCAACAAAAAAAGTGATCATGACTGTATTAGTACTGCCAGAAAATAAGGATACTTTTATGACTTTTTCAACACAATTGAGTGGGGGGAAAAAAAAAAAAAAAAAAGGACAATTTAGTTTCAGTGGAATAGTAATGATAAGTCAGAGAAACACATGATCCCCAGGTATGTGAGACAACCAAGAGATAATACAGTTTCCCATTATAGTTGTATAATTTTCATTTCATTTATAGTTGTATAATTTTCTGGGAAAGAAACTGACAGCAGAATCAGAACGAAAGATTACACAAAGAAACCAATCATACTACTATATAAAAAGATTGAGGAAGAAAAGTTTAAAGTACTAGACCTAATTGATAGGCATCTGATTGAAAGCAACAAACAACAACAACAAAAGAAACAACAACAAAAACAAACCGAACCAAGGAAACAATAAAACCAAACTATGCAATAGCAGCAAAAACCCAAGGCTACTCCTCTCAGTTCAAGTGGATTTCATGCATTTATCAGCAAAACATAAATTGATGTGAATTCCGACTCTGGTGAAAAGCATACTAAGAGCACTTACTGTCTACACATACTTAACTACATGCTACTTGTATATTGGCAATTTCTTTAAATGCTTCTGTTTTACCACTACATCAAGACAAAACAGAGTTAACTATTTCCTTCTGACCTGTGGCCTTCTCAATTGGAGATAAATCATCTTAAAATATGAGATTAAAAACATTCTTCATGTTCTCACATCCTTAAGTTTTGTAGTATCTCAGTACTTTACATTCAATGATGGAAAAAAGTGTTTGTATTGTTATACTCATTGTGCAGCCAATTCATATATAAACAGTTAAACTAGAGTATCAGTTATATTCTTGCACTTAAATCCACACTCATCGAACCAAGATGAAGCTAAAAACGTGGCAAAGAATGACTTACATTTTGCAAGTTTTCTTTATGAAAAATGTTTCTACTGTCTTGGGTTAGCCTTTTGATATCTATAATAATTACACCTTAAATTTATTGTTGGTCTTTCATTTGCAGCAGTGTATTAGCATATACCCAAAATGAAAAGGTCATTAGTCAACTACACCCAAATTAGTGAAAAATGCAAAACCTGATCCTGCCTGCCCTATGTTCCACCAAAATTTCAGACTAGGTGATTAATGAAGTTGCAGGCATTAATGAATTTCTCCTATAATACAGTCAGCACAGAGGTGAAACTGGGCAAATAATTTTATCTACAAAAAACCAGCCAGCACATCATCTCTGCATAAGTGGTCAGATATAGTTATCCTCACCCTGATGAACTGTATGCTTCTACGCAAGCCTAGGCGAAGCACACAAACCGTGGCAGTAACAGAATAAACTTGGACTAATCCCGTTGTACTGGGTCTGGCTGGGATGGAGTAAATTGTTCTTCATAGCAAGCTGTATAGTGCTGTGTTTTAGACTCGTGACCAAAACGCTGCTGTTAACACCCTAACGTTTTAGCTACTGCTCTACAGCATTTGCACAGTGTCAAGGTCTTTCCCACTTCTCATAAACCTTTCGCAAGCCAGCAAATAGACTGGGGGTGTGCAAGAGGTTGGGATGGGATGCAAGCAACCAAATGACCCAAACTATCCCACGGCATATAATGTCATGCCCATTAATAAAACATGGAAGAGGGGGGCTTCAGTAAGTTTGCCATCTTTTCCTCAGGATCTGTTTCTACATCAGCCTACACATGGGAGATGGTGAATGATTGACTGTTTTAATTCTTTGCCTTAGTTTTCGCGTCGTCTTCTTCCATTTCTCCTTCACTTCTTAAATGATTTTTCTCTCAACACATGAGTTTTCTCACTTTGGCTCTTTCTTTCCTACTGGGGATGGGTGAGGGAGGTGAGTAAGCACCTGTGTGGTGCATACCTGCCTACCAGGGTTAATCCATAAGACCTTTTCTGAATAGCTGCCCTTGACACTGTTATGTTTCCACCTACAGTAATATAAGAGAAAACAGAACCAGAGGATTCTTGAATGTGCGTGCTGATATGACTAGCAGCAAAATGCAAGATGGCACTCATGAAATTCTGACTGCATATAAGGAAAACACTGTTGACCAGAAATATCTTTATATAAAAGCTATGAAGAATAACACAGTAAAACCAAATAGGGGAGAAAGGCTGAAGCAGAAAAGACAAGGTAGGTATGATGTTTATAGCAATGTATGGCAGAAGAAGGAATCAAGTTGGGAAAGTATCTAAATTATAAATATCATGAGTGAAACTTACATGTGCTCAGAGCAGTCAAATGGAGGATAGCTTACAGAGTCTTTAAAATCAAGGTCATTATTTGCAATCTTCTCAATTTCTTTGCTTATTTTAAATAGTTAACTGAATAGACCTCATTGACATCTGAGCCTTCATTTCTTTTAGTGCCTCCACCTTATTCACTTCCATTCTGTTTTCCCTTGACACAATTTCAGATATTCTCCTTGCAAAAAACCCAAATAATTTCCCACTTTGCTTGGCATTATTTATGTAGGAGGAAAATAAGGAAATACTCATGTGGTTCATCAGTCACTCCCTGGCATCTTTTGTCCATTGTCACTTCAGAAATAGTTAGGAAACAGAAAGTAGACAGGGCAATTTTTCTGGCCTTCCTTCCTTCCCAGGGATCAAAAGCCCATCTTGTTGTAGGGCTGGAAATATTACTGTCATCTCATCACATGGTTTTACACACTCAAAAGTGTGTGCTACATGACAAAAATGGAACAAAGTATTCCTCTAGTGGTTCTAAACAGTTTTTTTTTTTATACACACACATATATATATATGTATGTATATAATATAGGGTATATGCATATAATATATATGTGTATATATATCCACGAGTATATAATATACATCCATATATATGGATGTTTTAATATATCTAAAAATATTATAATTATCTTTTTTATATATTGTATCTCACGATTCCTTCAAGAAAAGTACCAATTATTTATAGAGATTTTTAGATTGTTACTGATCAATAAATAGATGTTTTACTAGTGCAGACCTTGCAATAAGACCAAACAATATATCACACTCTACTAAAATTCCTCATGGGTGTTTTGAAATGAAACATTTTGGGACTTTTATGCCATTTATTAAAAAAATAAAATCAACAGCCTCATTTTTTTCCAAAAGAAGTCATTGATATCTTTAGTTTTCTAAATCCTCTATAAATATTTCATTAGGTCAAATAATGTTCTGCTACTTCGCCCCGCCCCATTCACTCAAAAGGCACTTATGAAGCCAAACTATACTCAAATCAGAGCATTTTAGTATAAAGCCATTTTCCGTCTTTCCTTTTAAGACACCTCTATTGCTGTTTTAATACATTTTAATGCGCGTAACACAATACAAATCCAGCAAGAGCATACCTAGCCCCTGTAGAGTTAGGGATAAATTCTAAACACATTAGAGATGCTATCATCTTTATAATCTCTTGGACTAATAGAGTGAAGTGAAAACAGGAAATAATTTACATAAGAACTTACAAGGTCTTTGAAAAACCTGAAGCAGAAAAATATCACCCATGTCCCATCTTTGTACTCAGTATCATACAATCAACTACCAGCATCTATTAGGGTAACTTATGCACATTTTATAATTTCCTTGGGAGACAGGTTATAGCCACTGGAACACTCAATATCCCTATTTTTGGAACAGATGTATGTATTGAGCACTATTAAAAGAAACAGAATACAATCTACAATTTCAGTTCTAGTGTGAATCCACAGTTCTTCTCAAGCAGTTTTGCAAGTTTCCATGTGCTTGTATATATACATTTTATATGTATACACATACATAAATAAGTATACACACATTTAAAAAGCGTTTATATATGGGGTTTTTTTAAATCAATGGGTAAAACACAACATACATGAACATATTAATTCTTTCAGCTGTTTACAGTTTTTGATACAACAGAATAATATGACCAAAGTTGTCAATGCCACTGAGTTAAGGGGTCTTTCATGAACTCTTAAAAATGAAATTACTTGAACCTAGTGTTCTCCATTCATGTATACTTTGTAAACAGTTGAGTCAGACAAAAGACTTGGTCTGGCACAGAAGTGCCTATTGCTCTTAATTGCATACCATAATTCCTTCCAGAAAAATACCTAATAGGTATTTACAAAGACCTTTAGATTATCACTCATCAATGAATAGACGGTAAATTTTTCCTACTGCAGGACTTGCAAAAGCCCTAACAAAAATAATTTAAACCTAAAATTTTTCTTTTTAATCTATTTGACAAAATAGAACTCTCCAGTTAATTATTCAACTAATACATACCACAACTCCAAATTGTTCTGGCTCAGCAAGATCATTATATTCATCCTTTAATTCGGCTAAGGCATTGAGTTCCTTCTGCTCAGGAAGATTCTTCACTAGATTCTAAAACAAACAAGGCATTATATTAAACTAGCTGAGATATTAAAATAGCACACTTATAACAAAACAACATGGAAATGCATGAGTATTATGGGAAGCTTATTTTATTTATGCAGATTTAATACTGTAACATCAAATCAAACCACTAATTATTTAATACAGACATCAGCAACTCTTTAAAGTCTCTAATTTGAAGAATGCCTTCTCAGTATTAAAAAAGTTAGACAAAACTTCTTCATTCTGTCAGACCCTGAAGAATTATACTTCATCAACAATCCTTTTATGCCCTCATGATTATATCTTGCTCATTAAATATTAATCAAGAAATAACCAGTCTGTGTAAAGCAAGACATAACTATCTAACAAAAAAAAATAAATTTAGACATTCAAAATAGCCATGCACAAACTCCACTTTAAAAAACCTTTCACAAAAAAAACATGAACATGTCAAAATTGTACAGGTATTCTGGATGGCAAATATACTGGAATTCAGCAAAAAGTAGGACTTGCTTTAAATTTTATCCATGTCCCCAAAGAAAGCTGTATGATTGATTGTATGGTATTAACATCTCAAAATACAGATATGCTAAAAGTATAAAATCTTTATATTAAGGCTGAGTAATACTTTGTTTTCAGAAATACTCAGCAAAAGTTTAGATTGCATTATACACACACACACACACACATATATATATATGTTAGTTTAAACAAAAACCTAGAAATATATATATGTACATTCAAACAAGCAAGAATCAACAGGCCTTTTTCATTCTAAAAAGTTCATAAATCTTAATACTAAAACCCCAAAGTGTATTAAAATATTATTAGCTGATATGATTACACTAAGGCTGTCCACACACTGAAGTTTTCTTCTACTTGATTTCCAATCTCCACTTACCACTTTCACTCATAGTAAAGACTTATGACAGAAAAAAAAAAAAGAAACGAAAAAAATATTATATTTTGGATACTGGATATGGGATCCAAAACACTGTAGTAACTTGGAGGCTAGTGTGATTCTGTGGAAATTCAAAGGGCATTGAGATATAGGCAAGCACTAGCCACTGAAGAAATCAAAGTGATTAAGTTGGAGACATTCACCTATAGAAGAGAGGCAGAGATACCTCCAGATCTTGGTGAATACAGCGTCCCTCCTGTTTTCCCACTGTGGCCCTTAGGAGAATTTTAGGGGGGTAATTACCTAGCCACATAATTAAAGAAGGCAACCACCTGTTTCCGTATGCTTATAAACACTCAACATGCATAGAGGGGCCAAAGAAGTAGTATGCTTTTCTTACTAATAGCTTTTTTAAAAATCAGCTTAAGATTCACCCAACTCCACAGTGCAACAATTCCTGTGCCAAATAACTACAAACAAGACTCCCTTCACACAGAAATCTTTTTTTCTTCTACACAGACACAGAAGGTCCTGAGGCATTCAAGAGAAAAGGGGTAACATCATGTTCTTCCACAAGAAGCTACTATTTTATGAAGCCATCCTCTGAAACTTGAATAAGTAAATGGTGGAATAACCGTCAGGTCTAACCATTATATTCCAAGTAAACCTCTAGGGAATCGCAGTTCTATAGGATTTTAATAACAACACAGATTTTAGTGCAGGTAAGTTATGTGTTATGGGTAAAAAAAAAATGAAATCTTTTGATATTTTCTGTAATTTCTCTAGTCACAGAAGTATTTCAGAACATGTGCCTTTAACTTGGTTAGGTTATTAGCACGTAAGTTCTCCTCCCCTCCCATCAGAAAAGGTGCATTGCCATGTGTTCCCACAAGATATGAATAAAATAGGAGAAATATGCACACAGACACTATCAGAGAACTGAGCTGTTTAGGTTTATGTCACAAAAAGACTTGGATATGTAAAAAAATGTTATGTGCCTTTCAAAATGAGAAAAGCAACCAGCGCTATAGAAGCTTATTTTTTCAAGATATAAAACAACTTAATTGGAGAAAACCTGTATTATTAGAGGTACAGATGTCTCATTTTTAGAACATACCAATCTTGCCACCACTCTTGCAATATTCTTATTCATTAGGAGAATTTGATTACGGATCACTCTGCCAGGCTTGATGAAGTACACATTAAAGTACAACTTTCAGAAAGGCATCAGTCTAATTTGTCAAATTTGCAAGTGATAGCTAACATAATTCCCCAAGCTGAAAGAATTAAACATCCACCCATCTTAATAAGGAAAAATAAAGATGACAAGCAGTCTCATACAAACCATCCCTGTTACAGAAATATTTTTACACTTACACTGAGGAGCTGCTGGGTGTCTCAGAGTTCAGTATTCTTTACAGAGACTCACAGATTCACCTCAGACATCAGATAGACCTTGACAGTGTAAAATTAAGCTATAGCCTCGTGCTTAAACTTAAGCATGCTTCCGTCCCTATTAGCCAAAACCCATGTCCCAAAAATTTCTACTTTAAAAAAAAAAAAAAATTAAGGATCTGTAAAATATTCTGACTCCTTTGACTGACTGGTAAAGATCAAAGACATGAACTAACGTTGGGTTTTTTTTTTTAACAACTATTTTCATTAGGTAGACTATTTACCAAATGTTGTTATCAAAAATTTCATAGTACTTGTCAGAAATGTCTATTTCATTAAACGTTAATGAACTTACTGTAAAACATTATTTTTTCCATCAAAGCAGAAATACAACTACCTACTACTAAAATTGCCTTTTTTTTTTAAGCTACCTAACTAAAATCTGTTAGTATGGTTGATGATTTCTCTTCCCTCATCCACACCCCTTTATGGTCTCGTAGTAACGGATCAAATCAATTTACTCTTAGCTTCTACAGAGAGTTAGCCTCTAAAAGCACTGCATCTCCCTACAAATATATATATATGTATGTATGTATGTATGTAAAAATATGTTTACTTTCATTAACTGTATTGAATAACTGAAAATGAAATTAAAAGCATTCAGTGATCACTCAAATCCTTGTCAATACTTTAGGAAACAGAGTTTCATAAAGTATTCATGAAGATGTGAGTTTAAATAAATATCAAGTAAATAAAAATGGTTTACATAAACGTAAAAATAAGCAGAAATGTAAGGCTGATATTAAGAGGCTGAAACTATCACTCACTACTCCCTGTCACAATGCCCTGAATTCTGCTAAACATAGTGTTTGACAACTGTAGGCTCACAGGAACTTACTCTCTCAAAGACACACTGGGAATTGAGAGTATTTTTTCCTAGAGTGTTTTCCTCAAGGAAGAGTTACAACAGTATATAGTCTACCATGTACTCAAACTGATTAATCCAATTAATTTTACTAAGTATTACCACATAAGTTAGAAAAGCAGCAAGAAACAAGAACATGAGAAGTATAACTGGAAAAGCACTTCTCTATATGCTCAATTATACTATACCCATTTAGCTTTCACCGCTTTGATACATAGAACAAAGCAGTTTCTACATGTGCGTTTTTACGAAATACAAGTTTTGCTAAGCATGAAAGAAAGCAAGGTTTGCTTTGTAAAATTTTTCCTATCAGTAGTATTGAAAACTCTTAAACTGGCAAATTAGTTAATAACTCTGTCAGAAGATTAGAATAAAAATAGACCAGAAGGGACTGAACATGAAACAGATGATACAGCCCATTTACCCCAATACATCTGTAGGAATATCTTTAGAAACGCAGAAGGAATCTCTTCTGGGTTACTGGCTAAATCTCTCTGCTATGAGAAGCAACCCCACCACTCCACTCCCTTCAAAATGGGCCAATCTCCAAAGCCTCAGGTTTTTTTGAAAATTATATGCATCTGAGTCTCTCTAGACAGTTGTATTCATGATGAATTCATATACATTTATTCTGGTGTTAACATTGCCATTTACTTATGCAACATCATTTTTCTCCCCAATGCTTATGCACATCACTCTTCTCCCCATATAGTTATAATGTAGTCATATGCCCTCTCAGCTATTTATATTTCTAATCTAATCAAGCAAATCTTTTCTAGCGTCCTTCTGTAAACTGCTTTTCCATCTCTCAATCATCTTAAGTAGTTTTTCAGTTCAGCTTCTCCATTTTAAATTCATTTTTCTTACATGTACTGAGCATTTCAGATAAGGTCTCATAAGTGCATTATTCAAAAGAACAATAATTATCCTCTCTACTGGAAATACTTGACCTGATACACCTTGCAGTCACATATGCCTTTTTTATGGTGCACTGGGTCTGGCTGGGATGAAGTTAATTTTCTTTATAGCAGCCCATATGGTACTGTTTTGACTTGTGGACAAAGCAGTGTTGATAACACACCAATGTTTTAGCTACTACTTGTGCAGCTTGAAGGCCTTCTCTGTTTCTCCCCCCGCAAGTAGGCCGGGGGTGGGCAATCTGTGCCCCCCACCCTGGCAAGTGGCCCAGGGCACGTGGCTGGGAAGGGGCAAGGGCTTAGCTGCTCCACATACAGCTACACTACAGTGGTACCTAGACTGGATCTGTTGAGCACCAACTCGCTATTAATTCTTCTCAATCATACTGAGAAGCAACCAGTACAACGTAAGCTTCCAGGATTTTAGAATTAACAGGTAAGATCATGACCTTATACTTCAGCAAAACATTTTACAACCTATTTCTAATCAACTAGGTCTCAAGATATCTCTACATTTGTTACAGAGATAACTATATCAATATGACATTACTCTGCATTTGAGCTATTCAAGGTGGGTTTTTTTCCCCTCCCCCTGTTGATTTTTGATTTTTACTAATCCTGGAGGCTTTTCAATTAAGTGATCTGATATCCCTGATCAGTAAACATAAGCTTAGGACTTCTTATTTATTTCCAAATACTATGTATCATGTACATAAGCTTTCTGTGAGAAGATACACTCAGTGGTCAAAGACAGTATTTTTAGCAATGTAAATACATATTAGAAATGCTAATCAATTGCAGGGCAACATGCCCTGAAACAGGACACCATAGTGCAACTCAGCAAATCAAGTCAGACTGGAAACAGTTTCTCATCAAACAGGAACTTCCAAAAACAGTATGCCATAGCAATCAGAATTAAAAAAAAAAAATAAAAAAAATATCTCTCTCTCTCTCTCTCTCTCTCTCTCTCTCTCTCTCTCTCT